TTCGACCTCGCATTGGTCTTATCAACACCCTCAGCGGGATTCGAACCGCGACAGTGCAGGACATCTCATTCAACCTTGTTTTCGCAACTTGGTCGGAGCGTCAGGTAGACCTTGTGGAACGTACCTATTCCCGTGTCCTCTGTCATGGTATTCATGATCTACAGCATTGGACCAATGGCTAGGACCATTCCAAAATGCTTCGTCGGCATTATTGTCAACATTGGACCGGTTTTCTGTCCAAGGAGATTGCATTCACCTGTCACTTTGATAAATTGTAACACTGTGCTTACGATGCAGACTATGATGCCGGCGAAACATTTGGGAATGTACCGAATCAATGGACTGATGTCGGAATTCATGAATACTATGGCAGATGACACGGGACTAGGTACGTTCTACAAGGTCACCCTGACGGTCGAACAAAGTTGCGAAAACAAGGTCGAACCAACACTATACAGCTAAAGGAGACTGCGGACCAACAGAAGGCCACACTATCTTGGTCTTCATATATCCGATCTATTTCTTAAGCCTTTAGCTGCATGTATACTGTCGCCTTACCGAATAGAGTGACTAGGCTGTGATTTCCATGTTTGCAGACATCAGGCATTGTCTCCACTGCTCTTCTCCTTAATTCAATCGATTTACATTAAGAAAACTTTGAACGCCTTTCTCTGGTCGTCTGTTGCACACCAAATGAGATTCTAGTCAATTTGTTGATAATGCCGAATGTCTGTTATGGTCGTGATTATCCGTCTACCTGGTCCTGTGATCGCAAACCCTCTAAAGTCGAGAAGACTACACTAACTGAAAGCGTCTTCAATTCGATCTTGCGATCTCTTTTCTTCTGGTTAATGTTAGGTCCTCAAACCAGGCGTCTGCTTTTTGCTGGCCTTGCTCCCCAATATTCCTATCTTATTTCTGAAGTTATGACAAAACTGATAATTGGGTGTTATTCCGGCATATTATTTTTTTTGAACACATTACTTGAGTGTGCTCTTTTAGAGAATGACTTCCGCATTCAGGAAAGTTAAAGGCTCGTCCACCTCCACTTACATTATAAATTTGATCCTTTAATCAATCGGGTTTGTGAAAAACAGGAAATCACCCAGTATTTCTCTTCTATGTACCCAAAATTTAAGGTAGTTAACTAGGTAGCGCATGAGCACTCTTGCAATTAGCAGAAAGATCTTGAAATGCTTTTCAAGTTTGTTCATATATACGATAGACAAAAGAGTTGAAAGTAGTGATCGCACAGTAAATCCAAATATTTGTTCATAGAAATTGCCATTTTGTATGAAGTAGATACTCCTTATTATCTTGCTGATTGAATGTCATGATTCGAGTCCCTCTAGGAGTGCTGATGAGACCTAGGCGAAGTCGAGACCGCAGTCCACCTTGAATGATAATATCTCTTGGAAAAGCAAGGCTATGTGAAATTTAATGGAAACGTAAGATCTACTTATATCGTTGAGGTAAAATTCCACTACCAGTCCTTTTATCACGTTAAACGAAATAGGGTGAATACATCTGATATATTTATATTCATAGATTGTACGTCAAAACTTACCAATAATTTTGTTCCTTTCAATAACATGTTTTGGTGCTTTGAAGGAATTCATATGAATGTTTCACTGTGTTTGTTAACCCTTCTTTTAACTTCTTTAGTTTCAAACATTTGAACTTTGCCAATATCTGTATGACTTCATACTTTTTGTGGACTATGAGCCTTTGTGTATCTTCGGTACTCCATAGGCTGTTCGTGGTCGCGCATGCTTTGTAGTAATGAATTAGTTGCTCATCCATTGGTATTCTTGTTCCTATGAATATAATTCAACATGTCATGTAGAATTTCATTGATTATACAAGTTGAGTCCTTCTTTAATACACGATACGTGATGCTGTCTCGTAGTATACTTTCCAACTTTCCTTTCCAGTTTCAATGTCAATCCTCCTTTATACGCGGAATAGAATAAATATTCATTCATTTATAACGTCTTGCATATCCCCACTAATTCGTCACTGTTTATTTGTCCCTGATGTGTAAAGATACTTAAGGTTAGCTGAATCGACATTTCTCGTTTTGTCTTCTCAGGAAACTCGTCAGAGATATTAATGACCTCTAGAGCGTTTATATTATTTCTAAAAGAAAAATCTTGCCTATCCTTCAGAATCGTGGTGATTTTGGGTTCAAGATAAACCGGTATTATGGTAAAATTGTCTAGAAATCCACTCAAGAGGCAGCAAGCGACGCGAGATAGATGCTCACAGTTCGTTAAGAGTATACGAGTTTAATCAATGGGATGAGTCGTTAAGACAATGCCTGATATCTGCAAGCACGGGAACCAGCGCCAGGGCGGTCTCCTCAGTGAGGCCACAGTGGACATCATATTAAAGACATGAGAAATAGTGCCTGGAATAAAACGTATACTGTGACTGGTAC